TACATGTACGTCAGGACCATCATAAAAACTGTATTAGAACTACATAACTAATCAAAAATATTTAATATCTGATTCACTTCCCATTTCAAATTTACTCCTTAAAAAAATTTAAAATGTGACCAGTTGCTTTAACAAGCTAAACATGATTTAACCCTTTCACTGCCAATGACATGTGCCACAATTCATGGCATTGAAAGGTTAAAACAAGCTTAAGGCTGTAATAGCAGCCATGACTTTGTTTTCAAATTTAGCTCTGGGCTGCTGGCTTTATTGTTGAAGTTATAAAAAAGGTGGCTGTAAAGTGCAATACCCTCTCCCCCTGCGACCCCCCCACCATTCTGTGGTTCCCGGTCCCTGCTGCTACTCCTAGTAGCCCAGGACCATAACTGTCCGGATGGCTGGTGGGGAAGCTCGGGGGAGAGATCATATACCCTATCTCTTCACTCTGCTCTGAGTAAGGAATAATTCTTGTGCCATCATTTATGCTCAACTCTAAGCTGATGAGTTATAGAGATTTTGATACAGCAGTGAAAGGGCTAAAAGAACACCACTGCCACTGATCAGAATCACAGGTAGAGGCACTTCTAGAATGTTCAACTCTTATCAGTCTGTACATTTTCTCTAGATCCACTTTTACATATTAACTGCAATGTTGCAATATATAGAAGCCAGTGAGTCAATTTACCTGACGAAGGTAGAGCTTGAGGACATTGCTTATGTCGTGAGCATAAAGATCTGACAATTCCACCAAGTCTTTGCCATTTTCAAATGCTTGACACAGCTTCTCGACTCTGGACTTTGCTCCATTAACACGGTAGATTCCCTGGAAAACATGACACTTTACAAAGTTATTCTTTGACTTAGGGATCATTGCTAGGTAGATGAGTAAAGTTGGGAAATAAAGAGTACAGTTTACCTAAACACAACAACTCAGACAATATTGTGCTTTTGAATCTCTTCCATTTCCCCAATTTAGTTCAAGTCAGCGTGATCCAAGACACTTAGACTGTCGCCAGCTTATGTACTGGGCCTATCCCTATCAGACATGCTCATGACAACATCATGCTCACACATGAAGACTAGTGAACTCTTTCTCTGCTTTACTTGGGACAGAGGTGGGACTGTTCAAGAGTTTGCAAACCCTAACAATGAATTTCTCTTATTCGGTTCCTTGCAGTAAGATGCAATACAGTATATTACATTTTTGTTTCTGGGGTTAGATACAATTTAACAGCTGCACATCGTTGCAGATTGCAGGAAACCAATCTGTAATTTCTGAAGGTTGATCAGTGTTACAATCTGAGCAGCCACATGACAAACACTGCTACATCCATTGTCATAATCTTGACTGAGAAATAAACACAAAAATGAACACCCAGCATAAAAAACGACCATTTCCTTCTACCCCAAAACTATCATAAAAAGTGGTCTGCTCCAAAAGTGATGCCTCCCCCCTTGTAAAACAAAAAAACAAAAAAAGCAAGAAACTAAGAACCTGGCCACATATACAGGTAAATAATCTTATGTCTTCTAATGAGTAAATATTTTCAAAGTTCGGAAATATGCACAGGTCTGTACAAAGGGAAATAAAGTCCAACATAAATAAGCCCAAGGCATTTTCTAATTAAGCAGGTTTTAAAATAGTGCCAGTATACAAAGCAGAATGGCTGGAATTGTAAAAATGTGGCCACACACCTGGGAGCTAAGCACAAGAACAAAAGACTAGGCCCAGGAAAGATGGGAATAATGCCCTAAGCAGGCTACCTGCAGTACTTTGGCAAACTATATGCAGGCAGCTTACACAGGCTACTGATGTTGTTGACTTTTAAGAAGTGGACTTTAAATGTCTGATGTCCCAATTATTTCAGCTCTGCTTAAAGCCAGCAAAGTTTTTCTTAAATATAAACTTTCTTTCATTCACTGAACAAATACAAAATGCCATCTCTGGATATTTAACATTTATTTGGCCTTAATTAATAAAAGTGGCACATGGCAACCAATCACATTTCTTATCTGTTTACTCTGAATACAGCAACTGAACACTAACTAGATGCTGTGTGATTGGCTGAACAACATTTTGGCTGCCTTATGAAATAAGCTCCGATATATTAAACTTTATAATACATTATTCTTTTAAATCTTTATGAATCAGTTTTGTTGTTTACAGTCTTGTTAATTTTTTTTCTTTGGAGAGACACAGAAATCACCAAGGTGTCCAAAGAGCACAGTCTGTATTTAGGAGAGACTTTATTAGGTCTCTAAATGAAAATAGCACTTCCTGCAAAGGAAGAAGTAATCTACACACCTCTTTGGCCGCCCGTGTCTCCTGCCTTCCCTCTGTGCCACCACTGCAGCCTCTTTCAGTTTCTCCAGCATTCAAACACTTCAGATAGTGTTCTCGCTGCACGTTGTGGTTTCCTTCCTCTGACCGCTATGTCACTGCCGAGTCCTAAATAGACTGTCTTCACAAAGATGGACTGAGCTCCATAGAAACATTGACTATAAAATGCTGATGCTTTGACTTATCTCCACTGCAAGTGCCTCTATACCTACTTTGGATTCAATGCTGAGTCCTGTAGTGGTTTCAGATGGGAGCCATGGCACAGGACATTGGCATCTGAAACTCCCAGAATGATTGAATTAGGAAGAGGCTTACGAAGAGTCTATCACTCAAAAAGGAGTGATATTGAACCCTATTTTTTAGGCAATTCAGCAGCATAAGATGCTTCTTCTCGTCTGGCATTTCTACCATTTTTGTCTGGTCCCAACATCACTGCGCCCACTTTCCTGTCATGGGGTGTCTCCTTGCGCAAGCAGGGTTCTATGGAGACACCCATCCGTGAGTGCTCCCATGGACAGACTACAGCCCTTACATAAAGACTCCGCCTTTCTCATTACACCCTCAGTTCGACAGGTAGACACGCCATTGCGCCTTCTTTAGGGCAAGTGATTGACAGCAGCTCTCAAGTGTGTTTTCCACTTCAGCTGACAAAATGTAGGGGCACGCATGCACAGTGAATGACGGGAGATGTAGCTCCAAGTGTTGAATAGTGCTATTAGTGTGCGCTCCCCGAACAGAACTTAGGCATTCTGCGCACAGGAAACAGTATCCTGTGTTTACGGAGGGATAAAAAACTGGCTTTAATACTATTTCAAAAGACATGGGCCACCAGAAAGGCAAGTATAATACTTCTAATGCAGGAAGCTGTTTTTTTTTCCAGAGGCAGAATCTCTATGAAAGGGACTACGATCTGACAAAACTGAGTATGTTCCACTTTTTATTAATGCTACCTTATTTTGTTATGCTAGATGTGGACTCCGGATGTTGTTTTTGAAGAAATGTAAAAACCTATGGAAGAAGCTCCTACTGGAAATCGCACCAAACATAAGGCAAGAAGAAATATCCTTATGCTAGACACAAAGATGGCAATTTTCTGCCAATATTTAAAATGACAAATAGCTAAAAGACTAAATGGATACATTCAACTCACTGCCAACAGTTTCTATTGACACTGTAAAAAGGGTGTTGAAGGTAGGTTGTCTTGATCTATTCAGAAGTTTTTGCAATTAAAAGAGGATTTCATTTGGCCAGCAAAACCCTTTCAAAGTACAAGAACATCCATTCTCCACCTACCCCCTCATCTTTCCCAAGGCCAAGACCCATGATACAAGTGGAAAGAGGTACAGTAGACTATAGATGGCGATACCATGGTATACGTTTTGAGTGCTACCTATAGGCTTACGGCAGCACTATTTTTCAAGTAATCGTCCAGCACATAAATGTAATCATGTATTTGAGACACTAGGGTAAGACATTCTTACTGGCCCTACTGTATGTAAACCCTAACTTCTCTTACTTTGTCCCTTTTGGTCTGGTAAATATACCAATGGAAGCAATGTGTTAGATCTGTTCAATAAGTGAAAAATAAACAAAAACATTTAGGGCTGTACTGTGTACCTCTGCCCACTTCCAGTGTTAACTCAAAGAGCCCTCCTAGCTTTTAATCTTGGACTACACAACGATTATGGCAGTGTAGCTTAGCAAAACACTGTGCAGGGCTGACACCACTCAAAAATGCTGTGATTTGTCAGCCTACAACAGGACCTAATAGCTGTGTGCTGGCACATTTATAGGTATTTTTCTGTACTTTGAGAGGCTTTAAATGGATGATACATGGGCAAACATGAATATATTGCAGAGAAGTATTGCATTTTTTTTTGCCTTAACATATACTTCAATCTTAAAAGTCCACACTTTCTAGTCTCAAAGGGATGTCCTTTGTGAAACACAGACTGTTTTGTCTAAACATGATCAGGTTTGGGGTGGGGATTTTGGAGGATTAGAGACAAGACCTAAAACAAACATGTAAGAGAACCATGGCTGCCACCCTCTTGTCATCCTGGTTCTCTGGCTTCAATTCTTTGACTCACTGACTCTGTAAGTATGCAGATAAAGACATCTGACTTTTCCATGACCTTCCTGATCTGCATACTTGTTATGGGCCAGTGGCTCAGAATGTATTGAATCCACTGTCACAACAACAAGGTAACTAGCATTTCCAAAGGAGGTCAGCAAAGGCAGCCCCTGTATTTATCGTAGGATACATTTAAGTCAAATTTCTCCATTTCTGATGTTGAGAGGCAAAAGCACAAATATACCACAATTACTGCCTATTCTTGCAAAATACACATCTCAACTGAATGTGTTTATTGTTATAATAATGTTGAATAGTGGTGTGTACACAAACTGGAATATATGCCAATAAGTGCCTACCTTTATAGAGAGAGCGCGACTCTCTATTTCGGAGGTGCACTTCTTGATAATAAAAGGAATGCCATCAGGGGTGTTCTTAGCAGCTTGAGTGAATTCCACTCCAAACAAATGAAGTCTTCCATGAAGCTTTTTGTGTCCGCACTGAATAGCCAATGTTTCCAGGCACTTCTTATGGCAAGCAAGAGAACACTACAATAAAGAAACACACTAAATAGACTGTTGTTCTTCTATGCAATGGGCTAATAATAACAATTGTGTAATCATTGACTTAAAGTTGTACTGAAAATAAGTCTTGGGTGGGACGGGAAGTGCCGCAAACACAAAAAAAAAACCTCCAGAAGAGAAGCAATGTGCCGTAGCCTTGTATTTACTGCTAAAACTAGAATTACTGGACTCTTACCTCCTCACACTCAGCGCCGTGAAACACCACTAAGCTATCGCATTCTCTGCATTTAGACGGGGCTCGAAGTTTTCTCAGTTTGTGTGTCTGGGATGCCTTGGACATAACAGTGTTCCTGAAAGGTCCAGGAGAATTCGCAATCTCAGAGACAAGGTCATTTAAACCTGGAAATATATAGATTTTAAATCTGGTTAATGTTTTTACAAAATAGCTGCATGACAGAACCACATTATGATACATGCATACATATATATATAAAAAAACCACAATATAATATCTATCTATCTATATCTATACATATCTAATATATATATATATATATATATATCTATCTATCTATCTATCTATCTATCTCTAGATAGATAGATATATATATATAAATGGAACCCTTTTTGTAGAGGAAACCTAAACACTTTTATGTTTGCATTTTGTTTCCCCTGTTATTCGTAATCCACCTGTATTTACAAGGTTACATACATGTAGGTTTGTACCAGAAAAAAAAAAAAAAAGCCTCAGCTCTCACAATTTACTGCAGGCCTTTAATGCTTTATATAAACAGTACGGGTAGATTAATGGTTCAGGCTCTGGAATGGACTAGATGCTCTTCTATTATTAGCAAATTAGGTAAAAGAATTAGTTGTATGTATGTATGCACTTACTGATTTAATCAGCACTTCATTTTAAATCAATGTTATTCTTTTTGATGAGACCAAAGCATGAGCTTTTACAATCAACTGATAAGATAACTTATAGCAAATGAACATTCGTCTCAACAGTCTGTGCACATAATATACAAAGCCATCTTTGCAAATTATGCATCCACTTTATAATACGGCAGCCAACGACATATGCAGGATTAGCCCAGAAAAAGCACAATGTAATGGCATTAGGGCATTTGTATAGATCTGGCTCTGGCCTAAGCAGCTGTGATGTGCTAAGGAGAAGGAGAGCAAGACACATACAGAAACATTAAGTAAAATGTGTGGACATATGCCTGGCACAATCACAGAGTTGACTGATATTGTAACACATTTAAATCTCAACAAAAGAATAACCTGTAGTAAAACCACAGCTCACAACATGAAGAACTAGGTGACGTTTTTAGGAATGTAAAACATACTGGTGATATTTTAATAAAAACTGGAAGGAAAGAATGTTTGTGGCGCTCATAGGAACAACATTTTAGCTGACACGACCTACAGTATATTTTAGAAACTGCTAGTTTGTTAAATATTCGTTATCAGGGTATCAGCAGTTGATTGATTATTATAAGGAAGGAAAATTACCATTGTCTGAAGGCGATGGAGGTTCCCTTTCATCCAGATCATCAGCTGATGACATTGTACCAGTAGACGGAGTCCTGGGAAGACGCCTTTTAAAGTCACCTGTAACAAAATGTTATAATTAACACACAATAGTAATTTGTTTGCCTTTACATCTATGAATCTTTTAGATTGTGGGCCCTCCTTATCTCTTGTCTTGAATTGTATTGCGAATGTAATGTCTTGCTTATATTGTAGCGTTGCGCAAACTGTTGGCGCTATATAAATCCTGCATAATAATAATAATGAATGAATTACCCTTACCTGGACTAGCTGATGGGGAATCCATAGAACGTGACTCACTACTGCCACCTGCACTCTCAGAATCACTGCACATGCCCCCACTCTGGTTGCTAACAGACCACGTCCTGAACGGTGGGCCTCTTAATGCTTTAAGACAGGAAACCAGCAGAAAGGTTATAAACTAACTAAACATGGTAAACAAACACGTTTTAATAGGTCAGGATTCATAGTGGCATACTTTGAATATCAGTACTGCTGCTTGACCTTTTTTGTCCAATCTTCTGGGAGCGACTATAAGGAGGACTGCCAAGATCTTCAGGAGATTGATTAGGGTATTCAGCAGATCCTTGAGATAGATTCCCATGAGAGGTGTGTGCACTGTTCTCTTTTTCCTTTGGCATAAGAGGCCTAAGAGTGAAAACCAAAACACACACATTTGCCCATGTTATCGGAAGTTATGTATTATTACTAAAAATGGCCAGACTGTAACAGACTAGCACAAAATGAGGCCACACAATCAGATTTTGTACTCTCAAGCTAATACAAGGCATTTAAAACATTGGTTGCTATTGGTAAACATACAATTTGGTGTTCCCCTAGGCAAAAGATTGGTTATTTGCTTTCAGGAAGTGTTAGTGACTGATATTTGCTTACTTTATTAATGCATGAACCATTTTGATAGACGTTAAATGACATGTTGACAATAGAAGAAATTACATATGCTAACTGGCTGACTTACCGGCCAATTTGTGCATTTGGAGCTTCACAGGATCCAACTTCAATACCACAATCATCCCTGGGCAGGTTCTTCACAAACTCTGAAAACTGCTGCCCTGGTTCATAACACTTGGCATTCTCGCAAAGGGATTGGCAGTTGACAGGCAACGATACCACCTGGGCATGCTGCATCTGGAACAGGTTTACTGTAGCCTGCTTACAGATGATTTTTAGATAATTAGAAGTTATCCACTGAATGAACATATACGTCTTTAAAGTTAAAGCACCCATAAATAATAAAAACAAGAATTAACCACAAAATTAGGTAAACACGGTTATGTCTACTTTCTGTTAATTATCGGTCCTTTAGGAGTACAATGTTTGCCAGACTGCAACACCACCCTGCTTCTTTGTGTTGTGGACATAACTAGCCACTGTACATAATGTCATTTTATCTCACATTACATCAGTTTTCTATGCAGATCTGTTCACATGATGATACTTTTGGCACCAAATATGTTCGGTTTTCAGAAAATAATATTAAGAGATAAGATAAGGTTTATATTTGATTAGTTATACCACAGGTTCAAGTTAATGGTAAGAGATACTTTTAAAGGGTAAAAGTTAGGGCCTGGCTTATTCTGACTTGTGGAAGTTCACCAAATGCCATTCCAATGTCCGATAGGTTTGCTTCAGTGGCAGTACAGTCACTGCCACAAATCCAAGCAGAGGTAAATAGGGAGTCGGATGTAGGCAGACATGTGTCAGTTTAGATCCAATTACCTCCAATCTAAACTGAGCAGTACGGGTCTGCTAATTTTTTTTACAACTCTTGAAGTATCAGAATACTACCCATCTTGTGGGTACAACTAATACAGGCAGGCTAGGTCAAAATATTTTCAGATCTATCTGTAAGAAAGGCAAGAGAAGGTAGACCTGGGAAGAGTAAATATTTTTGTCTACTCTTTTTTTGCTGTCTATGACCCAACCGGGAAGTTCTCACTTCCTGTCCCCATTAAAACATGACAAGCCATGAGGGAAGCCATTGTCATTTGGACAGGAAGACAAAGACAGCAGTTTTAAACAGGTTCCAACCCTTCACCATTTTATGGTTTCTGCACTGTAGAGATTTCCCATTACTTCTTGCCCTGAGAGTAAGTGAGTAATTTCACTAATAAGGGTCACGGGATGCACAAAAAAAAACAAAACACCTAACGGGACATCTATTTAAAAGTGCTCGTGTTGAACTTTAAATTTACTAAGCAGCATCCTTGCTAAAAACTTAACATCCACTTCCATCCATTACCATGACTGCGTTTTGATCTTTGGTACACTTCAAACTCTTACTTCTTTTGTTGCTCCATGTTTTGAAATGAGTACCAGAGCTGCATTAACCACTGCCTAAGATGCTGTCGCAGTCGGATTTTTAGACCCGCACATACATACTAGGGCAAATTTAGACAGAAGCCAATTAACCTACCAACATGTCATAGGACTATGTAAGGAAATCAAAGTATCCAGGGGTGCAAACTATATGGTAGCTACCAGTGCTTCAGCACGACCAACCTTAGCTCCAGCTCAGTCTTCAGAGACAGGTTCAAATCCAGAGCTCTGCCATGGCACTGGACCTTGAAAGCCTTCCATAGCTAAATAAGAGTACACAAAGATCTGGAAAGTGCCTCAATGCAGAGCCCATTGTTTGAAGGTCACATTCAAGGCTATCCACAAAAGTCCAGCCCAGGAGGTTCTGAGTTCACCTCCAAAGCTATTGCTAAGGAAAACCAATCCGGATAGCTACTATGCACAGAACAGCTCAAACAGCAGTGAAGCGAGGAATCTTAATTTAACTGAGAGAAAAAAAAATCTGATTGAGATCTAATTGAAGACGTCTAGCAAAAAAACAGACTGAAGAAAAGACAACCTCCTAACACACTAGCAAAAAAGAAAAAAAATGGGTAGATGGGAGGGGGGGGGGTCATACAGGGGTTGGCTTACAAAGTGTTTGCCAGTGTCCCAATCTCCTGAAGGTGGCAGTATAGCTTGACTGTTCCTGCATTCCTGTGTTCCTCAGTGGACAAACATACATTATAGCTCTAAACCAGCTTGTGTCTATCACTATGAAATAGTTAATAAAGCCTCATAAGACCCACCAGGCTGGCCCCCTAGCCCCATGGACATCAAGAGGGGATCACCGTACTTCTGGCCAGAAGTACCAGACTTTGAAAGACTAAGATTTTAAGGGAAAGGCACTCACGGATTAACAGATTGTCAACCAAGCAATAATAGACTCATTCAGCGAAATAATTAACTTATTACAAGAGGGAACACTGGTTCAACAGTCACAGCTCAGAAGCACACAGGCTATATTTGTTGTACAAGTCCTTCAGCACGGAAGGAGAGCACAGGACAATGCAGTAAGATACAGAAGTGAAAGGGGGTTTATGTCCTTGGAATAGTTTCAAAAGGAAACGGCTACTTTTTATCCTGATTCAGGACTATGGGGGATCATCTTTATTCCAAAACATGTGTGTGTCTTCCCAGCAAGGCAGATTAAACAAACTGCATCGGATTGGTACTCTGTTTTCAAAGAAACTTTATTGCAGTCAGCTATAAGACAGTTGAAGACTTATAGTTACTAACAGGGAATGTTTTGGCATAGGGCCACTTCGGATACATCCCCAGGAGAAGCTTAATGTATCTCTCCATCTAACTCCTTCACTGCTGAATGGTCTGGCTTCACTACAAAGCCACAGAAGTTGTCATCCCACTCACAAAAAACCCTTTCGCCTTCTGTGGCATCAATTCAAATTATGTTGCAAAACCTAATGATGAAATATTAGGAGTGGGTATCATTAGCTGACAGATACTGACAAATCTTTACTCCTTTACTTGGATATGTTTTTATGAAAGGGTAAAAAGTTGCGTGAAAAGCAAAATAACCGGAAAAGAGCACTTGACACTCCGCCATTGACCAAGTATCATGTCTCCACCAAATCTGTCAGATTTAGAATGAATGTTTTAACTAGTAAACATGTGCCCCCTCGTTAAACACTGCAGATGCCAAATTTTCTCACGTCTCAATGACTGGACTCTGATTGGTGGCTAAGGGCACAAAAACGGTTTCTATCAGAATGCAATAAGCCAGACCTACTGAGTCATAAACTCCTGAAAGGAGAACCAAGAGGCGAGTGAAAATCACTCAATGAAACTGTCAGAGGTCGGCTCAATAGATCAGGAAGTGAGCGAACACATACCGTCGCTCGCTCACTTCTCAATCTATCCTTGCAGAGAGCAGTGACGGTCAGCTCTCTGCAGGGATTCCACCCCCCCCTCCCCCGATCCTCCAGCGCTGACTTGTGGAACGGACGGGGGAGGGGCGGGTACAGCTGCCTCTAGATAGGCAGAGCCAGCTGTCAATAACGCAGCTGGGTGGAGCCAGACAGCAATGTCGGTAACGTCCCGGCTGCGGCATCTCAATATACCACGAGCTGTAGCTGAGCTTTGGGTATACTGAGCTTTGGGTGACGGGAGGACGCTAGCTTGTGTCCTCCCATTATCCTTAGGAGAACCTGACCCCATAGTTCTCCTTTAAGCTGGAACTAGCAAAAGAGATTTTTTCATGTGGAGTACACGCACACTAGGTAATGTTTAGATAGAACATTCACAAGTATTTATTAACTCTCTCAGATATCACAGCACCACCCCCCTGCCCCGACAATGCTTTCAACCTGCTCTTCTTTTCAGAAGGATGGAGCCATTTTATATAGGAACACATTTGTCATCAGCATGTACTTCCTGGACAGGCAGGCTGACTCAGAGAGAACACCTGTAAATCCTGAGCTTCTTGGCTGTGTTCACAAATGTCTGAAAAAGATGGCACCATGAGACTTGCTACAAAGTTGTAGTCTGCTCACTGGGGGAGAGGAGACTTGAGGAAATGCTTTCTCCTTCAGCAGTAATCAACATAATTTCAGCCAAGGTAAAGTCACTGACTGGGGCTCAAGGACAGTCTTTTTTTATGACAAACAGTACAGATTTTTTGAGGAAAATTAAAGCAGAATTCCAGGCAGAATTTTTACTAACCCTTGCAGTGGGGCTACCCCCGCACTGCAAGGGTTAACTGCTGTTTTTTGTCTAGGTTAAAAAAAAAAAAAGTTATACTTACCGAATCCACTCAGCCAGCTAGCTCTTAGACCAGTCCCTGAAGCCCCTCTGCCCCTCCACTGCGGCGGAAACCTTGAATCATCACATTCTATACATAGTGAATAGGCATGTGGACGCGAAGGAACATAACAATACTGCAGCGCAGGAGGCGAGAGGCTTCAGAGACCGAAGAAGCAGGCAGCCGGCCTGGCGGTTCAGGTCAGTATAACGTTTTTTTTTCAGCACCTTGCCAAAAACGAGCACTTAAAGTGATTGACTACAATCTCAAAACAAATAAGTAAACTAAACCTGGGATTACAGTCCATCAAGGGTGTGAGCTTGGAGCAGTGGTTACATTACAACACACACAGGGACAATGGGAAACAAAAGTAGCCACTCTCCAGAAGGAAGGACAGTGTCGGCTTGAATTTAGAGATAATTGGAGATCTACAGCTGAGTGATACACAAATAAGATACATTGTTAGCAGTTAAATCTTAAAAATGCATTAAAGCACCTTAACTATGGAGTTTAGTGTCACTTGCAGTGTGGGGGGGAGCCCCACTGCAAGGGTTAAGAACACTTTTGCCTGGCGTTCTTCTTTAAGAGGTTTCCATGTATTGTAAATTTACTGAGAGGTCCAGTTTAGAACTTGCTAAATTTTCTTATAGCAATCCTTGCAGACAGGGCCGCATTTCCCACAATACCAACCTAGGCCCGACCTCGGGGCAGCAGGACTGTGGAATTCCTATCTCCCGACACATGCAGTCCGGGCGCCGTGCGGGTAGTTTTCTACATTTAGCCCTCCTTTAGGCAAGCAGGGCTAAAAATGTACAGCGGGGAAGCCGCTGCTTGTTTTGCACAGGTGATCTCAGCGAGGTTGCCGAGATCACTTGTATGCAGCCTGCATACAGGGGGGCGTATTGAGGAACTTGGCATTGGGGCAGCAAAGAGTTTAAATCCGGCCTTGCTTGCAGATTCACATAGTTAAAATGAATTGCTCTGTTAATCTATATCAGCACTGTTAGAAGTAAAACTGGTTTATGTTTAATAGTCACAAATATAATGGTGAAACGTACCGCTTTTAGAGTGAGGTCACACTGATAAACAAGCTCTCGGATCTGTGTTAAGATTTCACTCTTAACAGTTTCCATTTCGCTCCTTTTTAGTTCCACATCTGCCACACAGGTTTTGTAATTTTCTTTGGCTTCTTCTGCCTGCCAAGCATGAATTAAAACAAGGAAGCCTCTTTAAAATATATCCAAAAAAAGGCACACTCCAGACATGCAAGTTCATACTGGGTACATTGCCATTGCCAAAATTCATAATTTTGGCAATGGCTAAATATACCAGACCCTACTGCTGGGCAACATCCTCTAGTAATCATCAACCCAGTGCTCTGTGGATACTTAATCTTAAGGTTGTGTATCTTGAAGGCAGGGATTCCCAACTCCACCCATAAAAGTCTATAAAATGAATAACACAAACAGCACCGTGTACAACTCAGAGGAAAGAAAATAAATAAAAATCAGCTTTCTTCGTTTTGACACTGCTAATCTGATGTTGGTGTGGGACAATTTCTCACTACCCAAACTCATTTAAAATACTAGAATTTGGAAGCATATATTTTATTTGATGGACACCAATACTACATGCTATAAAATTGATGGAGATGGCACTGTCATCTCCTTTAGATGGTGCTGTCCACAGTGCAGAGAATAGCAAATTTAATGTTCTGCTAATATTAAGCCAATTGGTTCAATGCACATTTATTGTTAGAGGGCCCAGGGATGCTTAATGTAGGAAGGCTACTGTATCACTAGTGTTTAATACTGGATAATTTACACTTAAACTAAACAATTCTCTATAACAAACTCTCCAGTGCTCCAATTATGTACATGCTTAACATGATTATATGTGCATTTAACAAATTTTAGCCATGTTATTTACCAGGAAATCCTCCCCCCTGTAAACATTCAGAAGCCCTGGATGCCACCATCTTGGATGTGATGTCAGCAGCCCCAACAGACTCAGAGCTGTCACTAAAGTATTCCCCTTTGCTCCTACCCAGCAGCTATATAAAAGGTTATGTAGGGAGGTGAGAGGTGGAGGGGCTGGGCCAGAACACAGAGATTAGACACTCCCTGAAGAGAAGGCTGTGACGCAAGGAGGGAGGGGTAGTGCTAAGGAGTCGACTCTCCTGGAGTAGTCACATTTTCTAGCAAGCCGACAGTGAAAAAAAAAGACATTTCAGGCTGTTGCTATAAGTTTCTGCCTGTAGCTCCTTGCCTTTTTAAATAACCCAACTATGTTCTTTAAAAAAATTACACAGCTCAAATCTACCTTTAATAATGCTTCTTCCTCCAGACGTCTTTTTTTCTCCAACTGTTTGCTGCCATCCCTTAGGAGACCTCCAGATAAACTGAGCTGCTCCTCCTCAGCACGTATTGTGCTTGATTTTGCTCTTTCATGCTCATCTCGTCGTTGAATTTTCAGTAACTTTGCCTTCCTTAAAGCAATTTCCAGTTCTTGCTGCATGGCACAGAAATTCCAGGTTTAGAAGAAACATTTTTCAGTACTTATGCATAATAACATCAATAGCCCTCTCTGGCCTTAATCAGAGAACACCATGGTCACAGATGCACTGGGAAAGCGAGTTTGAAAAGGAAAGGGTGCCGTGTGTACCTGAAAAACTGTGGTAAACCAAGCAAGTACACAAGTCTCTGTCACTCCCTAAAAATTCAAGCAAACCTTTGGGAAGCCAGAGCATGTTGCTCTGCAAAGAGAGACAGTATGGCGGTGGCTTTGACAAGTTAGAGCAACTGTTTTAAGGATCTGGACATGGTGAACACATTGCATTATGTTGTATCCAACCCTAGATGCGCAATAAAGCTGGCTGCAACTTGTTTGAAATAGCTGTGTGGAAATTCACTACCTGTGTGTAAAAACCCCACTGAGTCTGAATTACTCTATGACTGCTGCATTTTTAATATACCGTACATACAAACATATAGAAAAACAAGAACCTAAGCACACAATAAGCAATACACACCAATAGCCTAATACTGTATTTGTACAAAGAACATTAAAGCAGTTTTACTAAAGAAAACAGAAATCAAGCAAGGGCTATACTTTGTATGCAGTTTTCTTTAAAATAATGAAAAACACACAAACTTAATAAAAAACACAGGGATGTTAGGAGGAAACCGAGATATTCAACACAAGTGTACTGAAGAAAAAGGAAACACAATCTAATATTAATGTAAAACTATGTGCACCAACCATTTTCTTCTGTTCCCGCTGCCAAAGTTCTTTCATTTCCTTCCTTTGTCTGTCGAGCTCCGATCTTCGAGCTTGAAGAGGCTGCAGCCAAAGTAAGACTGTTATGCTGTTTGCATGTTAAATCAATGTTTGCTTGAAAACAAGACCTACAAAGCTCACACATTGAAAAAAAGGTACTTTACACTTTGATAACAGCAAATAATGACTAACAGACTGCAGTTGTGTATATGCAGCTGCTCATTATAAAATAAAATATAAAATATTTTACAATACAATGCATAAAAGAATACAAATATTTAAAAAAATGTAAAAGTTTTCAACCGCCTACAAAAACTGAAGATAACCAATATACAGTTCTTAAAGTGAACCTGCAGGGATGGAATTATGAAGGAAACCAACTGATTTTTTTTGAAAGGTGCAGACTCTGAAGCTGCCATCCTTTTCCTGGATTCACTACCTAGCGAGTCAGTGACCTTGAACAGGCATGCAGCCAATAAATTCTGAGGAGTCCTGTGTCCTGCATGATGGTTTCAGGTCAGTAACTCTATTAGTAAAGGCAGGATCAGCATGATAGTTTTGTTACCTGCATCACTGAAACCAAATTAGCATTGGCAGCTCACACATTTTTATCCTCAGATCCCCTTTAATGTGGAAAGAACCTTTTTCCTGTGCACAGATGACTTGTTGCCCAGTAATTCCATTGAAGGGTGCCGCAAACCATGGCAAATATAAGCCATTTAACCGAAAATGGCTGCCAACATAGAATAGGCTACCCCAAGTGCATGCTAGAAGCCAGTAGGTGTATAGAGACCACAATCACTTCTAATGGCCTTGTCACACTAGAGATAGATACTGTTTCTAGCAGTTATTTGCCAGCATCATAATTGCTTTGAGACCATTTACCTGCTCTTATGTTGTCTCTCCCACAATGGTAAAACCAATGTGGTGTCATTCTATCACTGCTCCATTTCTATTACTGAAGGAGTGATAATGTATCAGCAGGTGAGTAGTCTTTTAAGTGATTCTGTTGCAAGCAAGTTGCTGCCAGCAGCAAAAGGATAGCCAACATCACATAGTTCTAAGGGACCGGTGTTAAACCAGAATTTATGCCTCTCTAGCCTTGGTCTGGCATTTATACTTGAAAACACTGAAGCCTGCTCAAATGAACACTAGCCCAATGTGGTCAACAATTAACAGTTGTAAAACAAATGATACAAATCTGTTGAAATATAAACATATTAGTATCTGAAGCAACTGAAAGTGAAGAAATGTCTGGCCTCACCTGAATAAATTTGTTACTCTGGAGGGCAGTGATTGTTTGCAGACACAGCTGGCTAGCTTCAATGTCGTTTTGAAAAGCTGCTGTGAAAATTGGTTGGAAAGGCATAAACTCCTGAAAAGAATACAGGTTTCAGTTATTTTTATAAATGCAGAAAGGAAAAAGCCTATTACAGAAAACATATAGGTGAACGCGAAAAAGTGTAATCAACAAAAACCTGTAATTATCCACGGCCACCATCAAAGTTCAATTAAAAGGAAACATGAAGGTTGCCATTGCAGAGTTCAATCTCTGAATATGCTAGTTGCTGAGCTGTCATATTGATCTTTTTGCTTTAATACTTTGTTTCTGCCCCAGAACAAGTCGGTCAGCACAGCAGTCAGGAAACTAGTATGTTCAGATGGCTAAAGGTGGCCATACACTGTACAACCATCGCAAGACCTTAGTCTTGCGATGGTTGTAAAGTGATTAAAAAAAACGTACGATCTGCCCATCTTGGACAGGCAGATCGTACTCTTGATCATCGCAAGCACCGCCCCCCTGAGGGGCGGGTTTACGATGACCGCAATGCTGAACGGGCAGTGTGCGCGTGCGCACACCGGCCCGTTCGGCATTTGTCTCCCGAGCACCGTTCAAACCATCCGAAAATCATACGCTTTTCGGCTGGTTTTCTAGCATGCTCTTTAGACAAAAGACGTGCGACCGTACAGTAGAAACGGTCGCATGTCTTCGTTCACACTGCTCGATTCTCGTACGATCGCGGGATTTCCTGCGATTCTCGTACGAGAATCGAGCAGTGTATGGGCACCTTAAGTCAGGTCAGCCTACAGATTTTTCTTTAACACATTTACTTCAAGACAGATCAGTGACTTCCACATAAAAAAGCAAAAAGTTAATAACATTGAGGTTTGCTTTCAGAAAAAAATGTTTAAATATATACGGTGTGTTCATTACTGCTCAGTTCACACAATGACGCATACACGCACATTAATCTCGTTGTTAAATGCATTAACTGTAAGACTGATCCCTGAACATTTGCCGACTTCACCAAGAATGCTCATGTTCTATTTTTGACATAGATAGCACCTGGGAAAGTGGTGAGCTCTATCGTACTATGATTAAAAGTTGAGAAAGGCTGGTCTATATTGTAAATGTTGATGAACCCTTGAAATAACTTTCCAGCCCCAGGAAACTTATGCTATTACTTTACCTATAGCTCACGGTACATTAGCATGATGGTGGGAAAAGTGCTTCTTACATTTGTGGTCACTGGGAAGAATCCCCACTGATGGCTAAAAAGATCAGATCAGTGGTTACTTATCAGAGAGGAAGAAATCGCTCATTGCTCAAGGAACCCCAAGCAACTTCTGAAGGAACCCCAAGCAACTTCTGAAGGAACCCCAAGCAACTTCTGAAGGAACCCCTAGCAACTTCTGAAGGAACCCCTAGCAACTTCTGAAGGAACCCCTAGCAACTTCTGAAGGAACCCCTCGCAAACTCTGAACGAACCCCTACAAACTTCTACTTCTGAAGGAACCCCTAGCAACTTCTGAAGGAACCCCTAGCAACTTCTGAAGGAACCCCTAGCAACTTCTGAAGGAACCCCTAGCAACTTCTGAAGGAACCCCTAGCAACTTCTGAAGGAACCCCTAGCAACTTCTGAAGGAACCCCTAGCAACTTCTGAAGGAACCCCTAGCAACTTCTGAAGGAACCCCTAGGGTTCCACAGAATTGTGGCTCAGAAAGGCTGGTATAGACCAATGAATCTAATCACCGACACCGAGTAGTTACATTTTTTCAAATTATGTTTAGCTGCACTTCAATGGATAGGAAGCATCAAGAGCCAAACACCTTAGGTATATATTGGAAAGGATTGTATATTTTTGGGCAAAAATAGTCAAAACTCAATCCTCAATATTCAGGACACAAAAATGCAGCTTGGGGTGTGTTGAAGTATACATTTCTTGTAAAAATGAACCACTCGGCAAATAAAAACCGAAATGTTACCAGTGGTCAACTTTAAGTATTTTATTATCTTTGTCTTATCTATAGGTATTTACAGCATTACCTGTGGTGTTATTATAGACTTTGCGGTTTCAGCCATTTTTGCAAGGTTTTTAGAAGCTTCAGCTTCTGAAATAGGGGAGAAAACAGGCTTTAATGTTCTGTGCTCAGGAAAATAACACAACATTACTGAATAACATTCACTGAAATATCTAGTAATTTGGAAATCACATTACTGACAGTCTAAAGCACAGACATGGCAACAGAATTAATTCCAAAGCTCATTAGACACTGAGAGAAGGCACTCACCCACGTTAAGCCTTTTCTCTACCCAGGCCAGGATATCCTTGGCGTATTTTGACCATGCTTTTGCATATGCCAGCGCAGATTCCACCCCGCTGTCAATCCGCATGAGCATGTTGTCCACTTCTTCAGCACGTAAAGTCCCTGAAAACAACATGCAAAGGAAAACAGGATTTTTATTGGGAGCCCCACGATGGCTCGCAGGCAGCGGTGGCCAACAGAGAATGCTCAAGTAACTCTGATCTTGGATAGTTCTATAATGCCACTTGACACTAAATAGGATTGACAAGGATTTTAGAAGGAAAGGGTCAGAGTTGCAAGCAACATAGATGAGCCTGTCCCCTGCCATATGACTACTAGAATACTTGCATGTGCATACATCAAAGAAAAGGGTTTCCAAGAACAGAACTGTTGAATCCAAATACGTATTTTATATTAGCCTAGCTAAGGATTCCATAAGCAGACTTGCTTTATTATTTACCATTCAAGATAGAACTCGCTTTCACAGTATACAGAAAATTTTGTTTTTTTTTCCACAAATGGATTCGTGATGCTAAATATAAAAAATGCAATAACATAGGCAGAAGAATTTTCCTTCAAATAATAATACATGTTTAGGACATCTCCACAGAGGCTCCAAGCAAACCCTAGCAGCCTCAGATGTTATAACAAAAAGTGTAGGAGATCTAAACTAAGCGTCACACATGTTTGTATATTGTCTGAGGACACTTTATCTGGCATGCAGTCTGCATGACCAACCAACAGACCTTCTTCCGCACAAGTGACTCTTCTACCCCACTGTGCAACATGTGTCCACAAGCCAAGTCAAGAAGGTCGTGATGGGGACGGACGGACGGACACATTGATTTCAGCTTATCCAGCAGATTTCTTGTCACCTTTTCTTCTCAGAGACAGATCTTTTGATCCATGGCTGCACTAAACTCTGTAAGTAGTCCCTGTGTGCAGTCACAGAAGGGACTGCTTTACCTCAGTTTGCCTCTAGGGGTTCCACTAAGGGATGTAAGATTTTACATTATAATTTTTTTTACCTCAAAAACTTTAAGTGAAAATAAAAAACTGAACTTTTAAAACACACCTTTGCACAGAGTTGCTTTATCAAACGCAATTTTGCATTTATAAACTTTTGCTTGTTTGTTGCGGTCATATGCATCCTGTACAGGATCCTACCAGTTCACACCTTTGATGTCTTGATAAAGAAATGTGCTGTCACAGAGCTTTTGGCATACAATTTTATATAAAAGAAGATATCCCTTTAGATGTGCAAGCTACCATGACTAGTTAACTATACTGCAGAGATCAGCAGAGAGCATGCGTATCTAAATAATGCTTTCATTTATGTACTACAAGGAGAACCTTTCCATGTTTGCTTCTTCTCGTCTATCCTCAAGCAAATTTCCATTATATGTATTTCTGACTCTTCAAGGATGGCACATGCCATATAAAAAAAAAAAATGATGATTTTAGGACTGCTGGCATTCAGTCAGCCGGGTATCTAAAGTAAAAGTTTATTTTCAAAACAAAGGTCCACTTATTTATTAACGTAGCAATTTGTGGGATGTGCCTGTATTAATAATACTCCACAAATTACAAAGAGCTAGATATGTTATTAGAATAAACAAGGCCATCATTATATAAACAGAAAGGACATCACAACATAATTGCAAACCTACACCACACAAAAGCAGCCTACACTAAATGTGGGTTATGAGGGACTTAAAGTGAACCCAAACTGACCACAAAAGAGTTTCTAAGGTAAAGGTGACTATACATCTTACGATTGTCGTACGATTTTCGCATGCAATCGACTTTTCGGCCAATAATCGTATGTGTGCATTGCAGTGTCCGACCGACAGTACTGTACAATCGTACGACTTTTGACGGTCAAGCATGTTTGAAAACTTTGCTATATCGTACGATTGTTGTAAGGTTGCTGGCGTTTCCGTCCGGCAAAAGTCGTACGATCTACACTGCGCTTGCGCTAACGAAAATACGGCAAATCAAGTACCGCATTTTGTCCAGGTGCTTTTCGTTAATTACGGCTAAATTAATCTTGCGATCATCGGGGCAGGATGGGGCTGCCGTATGAAAATCGTACGACTATTCGATCATCGGACAAAAAGTTTAATCCGATAATCGTAAGGTGTATGGGCACCTTTACAGTGCTGAAAATTAAAAGAAACAAGTAACTGTGTCAATCTTTAGACCAATCCCTATGTTCCATGGACCTCCCTGTAGCCTAGGCCAGGTAGTACACAAGGCCCTGATCTCTCTTCAAGCTGAGCTCCCTAGAAGTCCTATCACATGCAGCACCAAGCCCCACTCCTGCAATTAAGCTGTCAAATCTCAGAGCCTCAGGAGGGCAGGAGAGATTCTGACAATTGATTAGACAACTGAAAAGCTGGGGTAAGGCTTAATAGCAAAAGGGGGTTTACCCTTGGCTTGGAGAGAGGTGAAGGCCCCAAGGTTAGTCTTGGCCTTGGATCTGCACATCTAACAAGAAATTGTTTTAAGAACAGTAAAACTTGACAGGCAGCACAATAGGTCTGAGCATCAGCACTACTGTTATCTTTTTTTAACATCAGGCCAGGCTTACTTTAAACTTCACCAATTGTCTGTTTCAGTAAATACATTATGTTACAGTTTAGCTTGGCAGAACACATGACATTTTTGTTCAAGTCTTCACCTTGTATGTCATCTCTCTCATGAATCGATCCAGCCGAGTCCTCCACAGAGAGATTTTCAAATGACTAAAAAGTAAACACATTATATTAGAAATCATCACCTGTAGGCGGTCTAGATAAATTATGTGTGTTGCATTGCTAGTGGGATACTACATGCAATCTTAAAATAATCAAAGATCATAAATTAATCTGTTGCAGCAATCAGTCCCATGATTTACCCTTACTTTTTGTAAACTGGTTCCCAGAGCTAGCAATTTATAAGCTAACAAAATATATTTTCAGCAGCGTTTCCCAGAGTGCTACTGCTCCGTTTCAGGGAGAAGAAATTGAGCTACAGTGAACGGGCTGACAAAAGCCTAGGCGCCAGGATGCAATTTCTAGTCGCACTGGTGACCTGGGCATTTGTCAGCCCATTGACTGTAGCTCGGTTTTCTTCTCCCACCGCCGGAATAACTCTGCAATTCTTTTCCTCGCTGCAGACTCACAGACTGTCAGCGGTCTCTCCTCAGACTGCAATCGGCTGCAACGTTCTGTGTCAGAGTTATTGCGGCGGTGGGAGAAAAAAAATATGGAGGTACAGCTCCTTTGTGTCGCCAACGCCTCACATGCTCGCTGCCATTGGTTATTGCTGCCAGCTATGTTTACATTCAGCTGCCTCAGAAGGCAGTCATTCACCAGCTAAAGCTATTGAAGTGGAAAGGTGACTCTAGGGGTCTAACAGACCCCTAATGTCACCTTAAAGAGAACATGTAATCTCCAATGAGTAAAAATAAGTTTTAAAAAAACAATTAAATTAAAAATACCAACAAAAAAAAAGAAAATGAAAGTCCCCCATCCACCGTGAAATGCACTCGCGAAAAAAAACTTGGTTAGCTGGCTCCTGGATTCAAAGAAAATTTGTCAAGCCCTGGTGTATGTATAGGTTTACAACAGAACTGAAGATTGCGCTCCAGCGAAACAAATGGATATAACACATAGTCAAGTAGGCAATGTGGACCATTACTTACCTAAATCAATACAAAAATACAGCTAGGTTATTTTTTTCTAATAGACAACTATAGACAGGCATGCAAGAGGGACTTTTTGCCATTTTCTTTTGTATACGACACTGAAGTTAAACCACACAATGCAATGGGAATTACAATTTAAACACTTACTTTGTTGAACTAACAATATTAATGGATACTTTCACAATCTGCCATGTGATTTCCTGTAGTTATTAGAACATAGTGCAGTTCCCTTTTCAGTGTGATGTCCCCAACTTAGTCTAGTGGGTTAAATAATTACTACTGGGACATTCCATTTTGTGTAGCTCAGCAGGAAGTCAACTTACTTTCTAAGCAATGCAAAGAAGGCATTAAAAAAAAAAAAAAAGAAGACTTTCCCACTGAAATCTCAGGAAATAACACTATACAGAGTGCAGAAAAATCCACACTTTAAAAAGACTGCATTATTCCTGCAAATTCCTCAACGGAATTCTGATAAAATAGGAAGTGTATGCATAGCACTTTTTTCAATTTTGGCTAGAGTAGGAAAACGGTCAGTTTATAATTTGTTGTCTGCATTCTATTGGGAGACTTTCTGGAGACTCAACAGGAAGAGGAAATCTCTACAAAGTAAGGGGAATTTTCATCTTAGATAGTTGTCACCAAAATAGGTATCCCCATTGGGAGATTTTTCCTCACCTGTTGTACTGGTGCCAATGCGAAAATATTGGATTTACCTGTCTGAGTCATTAACAATGGTCACCAGGACAAAGATGGTCTCCCCAGCAGGTACAGACAGCAATATTAAAAAAAACAAAAACCATAATTCATACCCATGTGTAGGTATCACAGAGACTACTCTGTAAAGGAACACAGAAAATACGCTCACTGACTGGGGTAACTATGCAGTTTTATTGGCTTTTACTTTAGGTAGTAAATGAGTTAAAAATAAATAGCTTACCCGACTTCTACGAGATCCATGAAGCCCCAATGATGAGCCATTGTCTACATCTCCCATAAGGAAATCTGAAACTCTGCAGAGGAAGTGCGAAGGAGAAATATGACTAAGCAGACACCATAAAGCAAAGAAAACACCAGACAAGCAAGGGCAACTAATGACCAATGATCTGATGTTATTTCCCTTGCAGAATCAGCAGCCTATTCTAGATTGATGCCATGGCAGACACAGGAGCACACTTCATTCGACGGACCACATGAAGGAACAAGGAAGCTAGGAATTTAGAAATATATAATAGCCATAAGGGTAACTACACAAAATGTGAAACAAAGATTACGCTGCTATGGAAAAAATACCTATTTATGTATTTATACATGCTGACTGTTTCAGGACACCTTTCCCACTTAAAATTTCTCAGAACGGGTATTACTGTCGCTATTGTTCATCAATCAGGCAGCACATAGAAATGAGGTAACTGGTGGATGACTTTCCCATAAATAAAGATTTAACATATTTCAGTTGTCTTGATTTTTTGATAGTGATACTTACACACTACCGAAGGTGAATGCTAAAGTGTCAACAGATGCAAAGATTTCGCCAAAATGTTCCCTCCTGTTCTCCTCATTAATGTTTTTGAAATTCACGGCTACAAAGAGATACCAAAGACAAAATCAACCAGAAAGTCAGATGAAAGCTAAAAGCAGTGTACGCATATAATTCCCTTGTTTACCCCGCCCCTGATCAGCACACAAATAAACATTTTCAAATCACAATTTTCTTTAAGAAATACATATTTTGAGACCCAGTACTGGGTTTGCCCGCTGCTCTTTGCTCAGAGTTTAGTGGGAAGGGCTAGCAGGCTGATGTAAACGTCATAGCATTCTGCCTCAGATCCATTTTAAAAGAATTATATGAAAGAACACATACACTGGATTGGGGCTGCAACTAATGATTATTTTCACAATCGATTGGTTTGCTGATTTTTTCCGATTAATTGGATAAAAATAAATACCATCCTTAAATTTAAAGTAAAAAAGACACAAATGCAATTTTACATTGAATAAAGTAATGACTTTGCTATTGATGCTCAGCTGATTAGTGTTAGTGCCTGTTCACACGACGTCCGTTTTGTGTGCTGACCTGATCCGTACGCTCCTGCACTCAAAATGCAGCCCAATGTATCCCTATGTGTTTTATGGGCTACAGTTCTCACGTGCGCAGTCCGTTCAGGTTACGACAGAAAAATACTGTATGTCACATTTTGTACGGTCAGGAAAAGTTTTTTTTTTTTACTGGAACGCATCAAAAACGCGGCCAAAACGCACTGCATCAGTGGCACCGCGTCTGCAGATCCGGACCTGAAACTCAGGCCCTTAAAAGATTCATTGTATTCAGGTGAAAATTCAACAACAAATTAAAGAACTAAAGAGGCACATGCCCAGTATAAAAGGGGAGTTCACCAACACTATAAAGCTACTGTGTGGCAGGAAATACGCTCTGCATAACATATCGGTGAACTGACATGCAGCAATACAGATCGTATCAGCTCCAAAACAAATTTAAACTGTTTCCTGTTACACAGGATTCCTATTAGTTTTTCATGAAAGTTCCAGAGTTCTGAGTGGAGGATTAGGTTGGCCATATGTGGCCAGATGATGTCTCACTCTAAAAGTCCAATAACCTGCCCAGATGAGCATTGGGCCATGTTGGGGTACTCCTAGAAGATAAGGAGTAGGTCTAAAAGGTCATATGTACTAGCTATTCCTTATGGAGATTTCACAACTAGTGGGTAAAATGGCAAATACTTTGTAGCCTTTTAAAATAAATTCTATGTTGAGCTTTCAACTTTAGTTATGAGCCCACCACACTCCACTCACAGCAACTGTAACTTCTGCATAATCAAGACTGGCCCATTTTAAATAGCGAACATAAATATGTACAGTAGACTAATACTACAGCTTGCCCTATATAAATACAGCATAATCTGTAGCAGGATGGGAAACAGAGCCTGGAGCAGAAAATTCATAAATGTGGAAACAGCTACGTATAACACATTTTCAATATAAAACAGAAAGAAAGCACACACGCGTTGTGGTTAAAAAAAAAAAAGTATAAAAGGCCTACTCTAAATCATCTGAGCTCAGATCAACACAATTGTAGTGAGATCAGGCATATGGTGCTTGCACACAATATACCCATACATCAAATGTACTCTTAAGAGTAAAATTAAATGTAATTGCTCCTCTGTCAGTAGTGCACAGCAATATGATACATTACCTTGGCAACGCGAGTTAATAGCCTGTTAATCAAGTTAGAGAAGAAAAATAAAGGCTTTGTATCAATTGAAGAAGGGCCTTTCAATGTGGCTTTTAATCCTATAAAAATTACTCATGCCGTGTTACAATAGGTTGTTAGCCTTCCCACCATACTCTGTAAAGATTCCTCTTTAAAGTGGCAGGGGACTCACCATTGTGTCAATGGCTACAGGTCATATAAAGTGTCCTTATGAAGGCTACAAATAAAACAGTGGACATCCCCACCCACACAGGAGGACAGCAATTCAAGTCCTACTGGACTAGACCACTTTTGCTGGAACCCCGGGAACAAATGAGGGTGGATATTCATCAATGGAAAGGGTTACTTAATCCAAAGTGCAGACATCTTTTAGTGCCCCCTGTAGGACTAAACGCTAGGCATTTGTGCAAGAGCAAAGAAGGACGTGTTGGAGCTTGCCCACTTCTACCTGCAGCCCACACATTCATACTCCCTCATCATCATGACTGGCTGGCCAATAGGAGTGTGCGTGTGGGCTCTGGATAGCTGTGCTTTATACCAGCTACTAACTTTATTTTGTCTTTTTACGCCACAGTGACTTTAAATATACATAAACATGGTGAATTGAATATGAATGTAATAAAAGGTCAACTCTAGACCTTTTTTTGTTGTTGCTTTGGACAGACTGGGGTAGGGTTAGAACCACTGCCCAGTATTTCCTGCAAAGAAAGTAAGGAGAAATCTTTCGACTGGGGACACAGACCGCTTTCTGTCTTTCCAATGGAGACCAAGACAACAATAAAAATCTGGCAGATGTTCTAATCCTTCTATAGTTTATACAAAAGATCAAAAGATCCCATTTGTGTAAAATCAGCATAAACAATTCATTAAAATTGCTGTTAAACTGGTACTTGCCTATCATTTCAATGAAGTAGCCCCCCACAGGTCCAAAAGGGTCAGTCCTGGCTGTCAAATGACAGCTGGAAAACATAGTGAATGACAAATGACACTTCTGGTATCACCCATCCACTGTGTTCAGACATGGGATGTGCATCCTAAGATATCTATGATCTGGTCTTTCAAGACTGCACCACCCAAGTTACCCACATTAGCTTAATCTGCCCAGTATAGCCTTATAGCTCAGCGGTTGCAAGGCCTGAGGGGGTTATAGTTTGCATTGCTGCTACAAACTACATAAATGCTTCACTCTGAAAAATGTTTCCATATACCAGGGGTCAGCAACCCACGGCTCCGGAGCCGCATGTGGCTCTTTAATCCCTCTGCTGTAGTGCACACCGTCTGGCTGGGATGCTCTGGCTGTGAGGCTTGGCAGGTGAGTCCGAATGAGGAGCATGGGGGGCTGTGGTGTTACGGGTGTAACTGCACACTTTGTGTCGTTATTTCATTTAATTAGAAAAGTGGATTATAATGGGCAACATTACACTGTAATGTTGCCTATTATAATCTATTTATCTGATTAAATGATTAGACAGGGCCGCTGTTCTATCAAAGTTTGTGACTATGTTGGAAAGTGTGAGCGGTGATGTGGTCACACATTTCAATGTAACCCCACCCAGTTTTTTGGCGGTGAAATGTGTGACCACCAATAGGTCAAGCATTCCAACACTTTCTCAGCTGTTCCAGGGCAGATCGGCCTCGCAAATCGTATGTGCAAGAGACCTGATCTGCCTTGGAACAGCTGTTCGGTCCTGAAATGTCACTTCTATCTGACTGAGTGGGGTGGAATGCGAGATCGCACTCAGAGTCGGATACAAGTGACACTTCCGATCTGCCCTGGAACAGTTGAGAAAGCGTTGGAATGCTTGACCTATTGGCGGTCACACATTCCACCACCAAAAAACTGGACGGAATTACATTTAAATGTGTGACCACGTCACACATTGTAACATAGTCACAAACTTTGATAGACCACCACCATATGGGGGGTACGGCCGGTACCCATGCACGAGTCTGGGCAGCCTGGGGGGCCTCTTACATGAGTATCAGCTGTACCAGGGGCGGCATGGCAGAGGTGACAGGGAAGTGTGTGGAGGAGGCCAGGCCCCAGCAGGTAAGAGGATTTGGGAGGAGGTACAGGGAACGGGACCCCGGTGACCATCCCACCTGAGGCCCCGCAGAGCCTACCATAGAGAGTCTCACATGGGCTGTGCAGGATCTATGGTGTGCTCTGCAGGGTCACTCGCAGGTGGGCTCTGCGGGGTCTCAGGTAAGTCCAGAGTCCAGTGCGTTACTAAGCCCACATATACCTATATACATGCTATACATAGCATAAAAGGTAAAAACTATACATGCAGTGTTATCTTCATTTTAGATGTCAAAAGGGTTTTGTGGCTCCCGGTGTTTTCTTTTCTGTGGGAAACAGGTCCAATGGCTCTTTAAGTGTTTAAGGTTGCTGACCCCTGCCATTTATATGCTAGGAGTTTATTTTCAGTCCCATTTTGCTATAGGTTGGGGCATACTGATTATGTAATTGTGACAAATATGAACAAAAACAGCACCCTGATGAAAAAAGAAAAAAAGGGGAGCAATAGGTGCTGTATTTGCAAACACAAATTTGTTAGAATGGTCAGTAATTCACTAGCCCATTTTTAACAAAAGTACTTCACAGCATTTGGTAAATCCCTTCAAGACTGATTGAATCTTCCTACATGAGACACACAACACTCAGTGACATGAAAACAAAGCCGGCCTTCCTTTCCTGTACTCACATCTGTTTTAGTATGCCCATTGTATTCATGAGCTACATATACCAGGGTGGTTGTGAGGCCTCCCGAGAACAAAAAGATCTGATGCACCTAAATATACTCGAAAAGAATGGTGGGAGTGGTATGTTTTTTCCAATATGCTAAACATGAAAAACAGATACTCGTCTCATCCTTTTCAGCACTACCATCCTAAGAGCTAAAACCCAATTATGCAAAAGTGGCTGTTGAGATGAACTTTTATTTATTGCATCTGCAAATGATTACACTTTAAGAGCTGAACCACGGACACTCAAGGTATACAATCCCGCATGTACTTGTGGGTGTTGAGGGTGCATTTTTCAAGCCATTTGTAAAGACTAACCTCAATCTAATATATATTAAAATCTAAAAGGGCTACTCCATTCACCTTCTCCTTCCTGGTACCTTAGCATTTACTAAATGAGTGTGCAGAAGCCGGCTGCAGCTCCACAGAGTCCTCAAAATTTTCAAAGGGTTTCCCAGTTCCCAAGTCTATTCAAAGTCATAAGGTTTCTGCCCTGGGTGCACACCCAGGGGTGTGGAAATTTAAAAAACAACTACTTGTCCAAGGACTAAAGCGGGGGCCAATCTACTCATGGAAATCTACTTGTCCTGATACAAAAAAGGA